ATTTACCAGTTGTGTGCCACCCACAAATGTAACTCAACAAGACATAATATAGCCCACAAGACAGTAATGAGCAAAGTGTTCAAAATAAAATGGGACCACATCGAGCTCTTATATTCTCATCTTCAACTGGCTCAATTTATCCGACATTTAATTCTCAGTGTCACTGAATATGTTGAAGTGTCTCAACCAACTCAACATGCAACATGAAAGAAAGTACTCGGCATCACCAAAACTCAGATCTAATTATACACCCACCACCCATCCCATACTCTTCCTCCCACCTCATACACCTTGCCATCTCTTACAACTTGCCACCACATACTCCCCTTCCATTTCACACCCTCGCTCTCATTTCATAAACATATTCAAGAACCATACAGGTATACTGAAACTGTCACATTGGGAATAAGTTATGTCTTCACCTGAAAATATATAAATATTAGGCCAGTGTTCAAGTAAAGCTTTAGGCTGGACTTTGTATCACAATAGGTATGTATAAATGCAGTAAATGGTTCTATGGGCCTTTTGAACGACTTCATACACAAATTCTTACACCAATAATTGCAACTTGTACATCCTTCATCACCTCAATGAACTAATGTAAACAGCCTATTGTACACTTAGTTTACTATTACTTTAGTGCAAACAGAAAGATACTGAATTCATATTTGTCACTTATTCAATACACTATTTATAAAAATTTACAATTACAGGTTGCATTGTAATAAACTAGTGTATACATGCCAACAATACATTACTTTCAGAAACTGCTGTGGAAAGGAACCCATTTTAGTCTAGTGTGTTATAATAATAATGAGATATTATGCTATTTACAAACTTACTCTAATATGCCTGACTAGATTGTTGCCTTTTATATGTAAAAATAAGTTGCTGTCCTGAGCTAAACAAAATGTGAATATAATGATAAAATGAAGCAGAGAAACAAGAATGAAAGGTGTGTGTTTGAGAAGCAAGTTGTAAAACCATGTGAAAATAGTACTGTACCAAATGACTGTATGGTGAAAATTCAAAAGCTTAAAATGGTTGCAAAACCCACTGTACTTTCTTGTAAATATTTAAATGAGTGTACACAAATATAGATATTGAATACAGTTATTTGCAATTCATAGCACAGCCCCTTCCACTCACCTCCCACCAGCAAGCTCTTTCACCCCTCCGAAGCTAGACCAAACATGATCCTGTTCAAATCAGATGTCCCTTAGGACATGTGAGAGCCGCCACTCTCATCATCATCGCCTCCCTGTCCTCCCCCAAGACAACACTCCCTCGAAGACTCCTTATAACCCCTCCTTCCCACATGCCAACAGTAACATCCACTCTCCCAAGCCGACACCCACTTCCACATGCTGGCACCCACTCTTGCAAGTCCACACCCACTTCCACATGCTGGCACCCACTCTCACAAGCCGACACCCGCTTCCACATGCTGGCAGTCACTCTCCCAAGCCGACACCCACTTCCACATGCTGGCAGTCACTCTCCCAAGCCGACACCCACTTCCACATGCTGGCAGCCACTCTCCCAAACCGACACCCATTTCCACATGCTGGCACCCACTCTTCCAAGCCGACACCCACTTCCACATGCTGGCACCCACTCTCCCAAGCCGACATCCACTTCCACATGCTGGCACCCACTCTCACAAGCCCACATCCACTTCCACATGCTGGCACCCACTCTCACAAGCTGACACCCACTTCCACATGCTGGCACCCACTCTCACAAGCCGACACCCACTTCCACATGCTGGTACCCACTCTCTCTGACAAGCCAAAAATCACTCTCACATAACACCCACTCCCACATGCTAAATTCCACTCTTACACACCAACACCTGCTCTCACGAGCCAACATCACCTCCAACATGCCAACACAAGCTCCCACACACCGACATCTAAGTATTCGTAGTGTAAGTATTTGTTAGATGAGGTTCACCTGTATTTTTAGCAAGTGCACATTAACAAAAAATTTGATGTTGCACAATATTTTCTTCAATTATCCAACATGCCAGAGTCCCAGATGTCCCAAATGTATCGTTTTATCCAAATAATCACAGTATTTCTTTACCTTTGAGTTTATGGGATATTACTAAATTGTATACAGTAATTCTAACTAAAGGGCTACATTTATTAAAAGTGTTTGCAAAATCTGCAATTACCTAAGTGTAGTTATGAGTGCTATGCCCGTGGTGTCCCGTCTTCCCATTAACCTTTGTTGTATGACGCTTTGCAACATTCGATGGTTTAGGCATTTACTGCCACCTCACTATAGTTGTTCAGTCTACAACTCTGCTCCCATGGAGAACTTTCACTTATTTTCCTGGCACATTTTGTGATCTTGCTATGGCCTCTTGTTCTTGAAGTTGTAGGTTTTAAAAGTTCCTCCTTGTCAATTATATCAATTCCTATCATTACAATATTTTGTATTTCATACAAAGAGATCATATTACTTTTTTTTCTTCTATCTTCCAGCTTTGGCATATTTAATGCCTCTAGCCTCTTCTCATAGCTTCTTTTAAATTTTGGGAGCCACACAGAAGCATATCTTCACACCCTTTGTAATGGATGTGCTTTTTGAGATAGACACCACACAATTTCTGCATATTCAAAGTTCAATCTTACAAATGTCATGAACACATTCTTTAGTATGTCTTCATTCACATATTTAAATGTGATTTGGAAATTTTCAAATCACATGTTGATCTTTACCATCAGTGTTTGTGTCCATTTCTAGACATTCCCAGACAGAATCATAGTTATTCAATACAAACATTACATTGTATAAACTAATAAGTGGAGCCAAGAATGAAAAAGTCCAAAATAACTACGAGTCCTCTCCACCTGCACAAATTTGTCAAAACTCACGATTAATCACACCACATGGCTTCCTCCTACAGCTCACATAACCTTATGACAACTTTGATGATTGATGAATGTTAATCATTACAGTTATCATAATGTTGATCCAGTCTTGAACAGGATCAACTTATAACATTTAGATCTACTGCACGGGGAGACTTCTTTTCATCTCGTCCTAAAATGGAAGTCATTACTGATCCAAAATTCTCTTGTGAAGGTCAGACATCTAGATGAACATAACAGGATGCAGAAAGTGTCACGGTGAAGTAATTTTTGTGAAGTAAGAATGCCACTTACTGCGGCTAAAGGGGTTACATGACTGAACCTATAGTCTTTAAAATAAAGATGAAAACATAAAAGAAACAACATTATTAATGACAAAATAAGAAATAACTTAAGGTTACATCAAGTGATTTATGATGGTGGTGGTGGTGGCAACTTATGGTGTTAGGATGACCATTTGGCCAAAGATACATAGTGAAGAATGGTGGCTGAGTTAATTCTCTTACAAAACTCCACTACCATCTGTTTATTCTTTATGCCATTAGATAATGGTCCTTGTTATGCTAGACTCGGTACAGACGACCGCTCGAGGAATGGCACAATCAAAATTCTCTATAATGTACAAAATGATGCCACTCTGTAACACAATACCTTATAGTATCAATATAACATGTTAATAAATTCGTGTTCCAGCCTGTCACCATATGCCTGCCCATGAACAGTCCAGGCATCTTATGCCCAACTCAGTGGCACAGTATTCTAAATATTTTTATATTTTAAGTTATTTTATGTGTTATACCTATTGATGTCGAAACTGTTTGCAAATAAATTTTCTAGAGTAAAGATGTTAAAAAATATTGATAATAGATTTTGCATGATGGCACTGAATATAAGTGCTAATGAACATTTCAATATTCTTCATTTGCAGTATTTTCATTATAAAAAATTAAATGAAAATGTGCACCTATGATTGGTCAACACAGATGCAAAAATAAAAAAAAATAAAAACTTTCATGCTTTTCTTTCTTTCATCACAAATATGCAAATAGAATGGTTACACAAGTGATTTTTCTGGAAATACAGATATTAGAAGATGTATTTTAGCATCATCAAAACATTTACAGACAATTACAAAGCTAAAATGTGTCACAGGAATGATAAATTGTTAATACTATTTGGGCCAATAAAATTGTGAAAGTAGTAATTGAAAATATGAAAAATTAGTTTTGCTGTTAGGTAAAACAGGTATTGCATACTAGGCATAGTTGTACAGTTTTGGCTATTAGGTACAAATATATATGCAGTATGTGATTCCCCCCATTGTTAGTGATGGGAAGCCTGTACAGCATCCAAGTCCCCCCCCCACCCCCAGCCAACTACTAACCTTCCCCAGGATGCAACTCACAACACTTCCCTAACTCAGATACTTATTTGCCTACTGATACATAGCTAAGAATTGCTAGGTGAACAGAGGCATGAGGTGAATGGAAATATGGCCATCTCTGTTCTACTGCAGGAATTCAACCTGGGATCCTCAGCTGAGACTTGACAATGTCAGACACTGCATTATGCAGGAATGTAGGTGATGTAGGAAGTACCTTCATATAGCTGAGCTTATTACGAATCGACGTGAAATCAACTACGACAGACGATTCGTAGCCAAAACTAATGCTTTATTTACTACAATCTGCTTCCAACCCAATCCTGCATTATGTTGCTGAAGCTGAATTCTGCCTACACTATTTGAACTAAACTGGTCTTAAGATTTCTTACTTCACAATCTTTACTTAAGTTTGTAATTAAGTCAAGTTAAATACTATACGTATTTAATAACTTGATAATTGTTAATTTCTTGTCAGTAGCTACATCAAAGGTTAAACTATAAAGAACAAGATACCTAAAAAAGTTTATTAAAGCTGATACTCATACTACAGAGACAGTGAAAAAGTATTCACCATTACTGATCCAAATATTAGCAGAATGAGCCAGCTATCATTCTAAAATAACACGTGTCCTTTGACGGTTAGAATCCATCAATTTTAGTCACCTATATTCACCACTTAATGGAAAGATAAATCAAGGCAAGTTGATGCTCTACAATAATTTTAGACATCATACCTCCTCAATCATTTTATCCTCCTCCAAACTGGTGGAGTGGACGGGAGTGGAGGGTGGTGTGGATGACAGTTCAGAAGACATCGACTCTCGAGCCAGTCTTCTCTTCTTCAGTGGGGTGATATAGTCTCCACCTCCAGTAGGCGAGTCTGTAAACCAAATAACTATTTCTTTAATGAAGTTCAATTCTAAAAGTCAATTCAAAGTAGAAAAAAGTAAAATTACATGGTAAAACATTTGCTCTTGTTTACTTTGTGTTTTTTTAAATATTTGGTACAATTTCTTTTATATACCTGGGTAGTAAGGTTAGATAATTACCAGGAAAAAGCACTAGGTCATTATGACCATATTGCACTTGAAAGGGACGAGCATAAGGACTCGGTATAGGATGGGGGGAAAGGAATGGTACCCAACCAATTTGACAATCGGGGAATGAACGTTGACCTGCAAGAAATGAGACCATCGCTCTATAGTACACTCCAAGGGGTAGAGCTACATAGGTAGAATGCAATATTTTGTAATAGTTTATGCCTCCAAAGAATAGAAAATGTCCATTGTTCCCCTTCAAACTTCACTTAGATTTTCATAAGATAGCTTAGGGGAGTTGTCTTGATAGGAGACAGTATAAGCAATTAGAAAATTACACTTACTACCCAGGGGCAAAAATAGTGTTACATAGTGAAAATAGAATGTCAAACTCAATAAATACTACTACTATATACCACAGTTTACTGATTACATATAAGAATTCCTTCCATGCAAAATAATTCTGGCAGTCCCCAACTTATGAACAAGATGCACTTCAACAAGGTAGTCATAAAACAGCTGTTCGTAACTTGAAACCAGATTTCCAAGGACGTGTGCTGCTATAATTTGAGGATGCATTCCAGGGTCACCAAAAATCAACATACAAAAGCCAATTTTTTACATATAGGAACCAATTTCAAATTTACCTTGAATGATGGAAATATCCTGATCTGATGCTTTTTTGAAGAGTGAAATGGTATAATTACTAAAGTTGGCAGTAAATGGTGATAATAAATGGACATTTGTACACCAACACATTTCATCTTTTTTGAAGTCATTGAGGAACTTTTCCTTGATAAACAGCTGAAACAGTGCATTAGAAGCATTGTTCATATTATGGGGACGTCAAAATTAGTTCATATAGCAGAACAAGGAGATAAAATGGGGACTTTAAGGCTGATTGTAAAATCAAATCAGCATTAGTCAGATGTTCACAAGTCAGGGACTGCTGTACAGTAAATTCCCAGTAATCTAACTCCATGTAACATCAATAAAATCTGATTACTGGGTATTCTTCGATAATGTGGGTTAGGCATCTGTATAAACAGAACTCTCCCAAATATCCAGATATGTGATGGCAATAAATGTAAAACATTCAACAGTTTTATTTACATTCTAAAATGTGTCTTCAAATGCATTTCATTATCAAAATATACAAAAATGAGATATAACATTTACAATATACTGTAACAAAAAAGATTTTACCAAAAAATAGTAAACCCAAGCTCACCACTTAATCTGACTCTCCAGTTGATCCACAGAGGGTCCAGTCTTAATTAATTCAGATATATAAATGAAGATCACTAGGTCAAAACATTACATAACTGCAATCCTACCTGGTCTGCTATTTGGACTTGGACAGAGGCCATTAAACTGAGGAGATTCAGTTTCTTCACTAATAGCCTGTCTTAACCATCTCTTCTTAGCTGAACCTCCTGGCATATCCAAATTGAGTAGAGTACCCTGGATCACAGTTTGATTTACCGAGGATCTTCTCAGTGGTGTGGCTGGTGATCTCATGTAGCATGTTGGCACTCCGGAGGGAAGTTCTACAACACCGGGCACGTTCCCACCCGGGAGAACTGGGTCAACATTCTCATTCAGCCATTCATTCATGAGTGCTTTTTTGGTTTTGGGAAATCTGTTATGAGAGAAGACATATGCAGTTGAATTTCCTATAAACTCATAATATATGAGTATGTAAATAAATAAATAAAAAAATAAATAAATAAATAAATAAAATTATTTATATATATATATATATATATATATATATATATAAATAAAATCTCGCGTGTGGAAGGCAATATTCTCATGAACTGAAGACCCCTACTGCACACACGATATGATTGCAATTTTATAAAACGTATTTTTTTAAGACTATTACTAACCTAAAACCCATGCCATTAGAGTTCCCTTGAGGTGGTGAATTGAAATTGAGTGCAATACCCTCAATGGAGCCCCCAACAGGGGACATCAGTCCTACTGAAGCACAGCTACTCTCATCTCCAGTCAAATCTGATGCTGTGGAATCTACACGATGAATATTGCGCTTTTGAGGGCTACCCTTTCCTCTTCCTTTTTTCCTATTGAAAAAGTTGAAAAAAATATATATAACTATTTAAAAAATTATTTATTTATATTTAAGTTTTATAAGTAGCACGTTTATTTAGAAGCCATATAAATAACCCACAAAAAAATAAGCAAGTAAAAATCTTAAATATATTTCTTTTTTTTTTTTTAGTGTACCTACCCTTTTCGTCTACTCCTCTCAGCACCGGGTGTATTTCTCACACATTCATCAGCACTACTCGTCTTCTCCCAATCATCTTCTTCTCCTTCACAACGCTTTTTATCCTTATCCTTTGGGTCCTTACATTTATCCTCCTCTTTCTTCTTCTCCATCTCTTGTCTTCGCTGTGCAGCTTTTTCCATTCGTTCAAAAGCTTTCATGTAAGCAGCTATTTTACGCTCCTCACGAGTCATCTTTTGCTGCTGCTGTTTGTCTAAACATTTAGGCATTTCAGGAGTAGGTAGAGTTGTTGGTAGCGTAGTGAGGATTGAATCTTTTCCAATGTCATCTGGTGAACTAGATACAGATACACTAGGAGACTTCGCAGGAGACTTGCCACAACCAGATGCTCTTCGCTGTTTCACAGGAGTAACTGGAGCGCTGTTTACAATTGGTGTTATGATGTTATCACTATTTCTGCTTTCTGTTGATGTGGTTCTTTTACTGGTACGCAGCTGTAGCTGTAGTTGTTGCTTTTTGAAATTTTTCTTGTTGCTGTTTTAATGAAAAAATGGGTTGCATTATATATATGGAAATGCATAGCCTAAGAAGAAATTTGATAGGCATGCAACTTAATTATGTACCTGATTACTGTATCTGTTACTTTTAGGAATGCCTCATCCCAGGTAACCTCAGTGCCTCTAAATACCAAAGTAACCTGAAGAAGCACTAAAATAAAATTTGGCCTTCCTGTCAGTGCTGAGCAGTTTCCACTTGCCTACACTCTGACTAACAGTATGTGTAGCAATAATGAAAACTGCCTCACTAAGTCACATTTAAGTAATGTATTTTAAAAATGCCTGTGTTTGTGGCCAGCACAAGAACTTTGTATCAACATTAGCACTGTTTCTGAAATAAAAATATAGCCTTGAATGTAATGAAATACTCTTTTCTGGTAGGTTCACAAAGCCTGTGTGCTGGCACTGCTAAGCCTTACAATCATAATACCAGGCCTCCGAGGCCAACATTCCATCAACAATTTTAAGAAAATATGAGGAAAATGGCTAGGATTCACTCGTACACAGCCATTGATAGGTAAGCACTGATGTACCTGGACCGGAAACTGATTCAGATTCCCTCTATGAGGAGACAAGAGCATGTGGATCCGAGATCAACCCAAAAACTGAAAAATGACCAGGAAAAAAGACAAAACAAACCACTGCTTTGAAAAAATATTAAAATGTGGAAAACAATGAGTGTGATAGTTGGCAATGGGTGAACAACCCTAACTCCAACTCCCTCAGCAGCCACTAGATGGCAGCCCAGGTCATCTGGGGTCCTGATCCACCATCTGCCTCATTCACTTGCCTGGTACTGTATTGTAAAGATTTGACGACCTCTGCTGGGACATACTCCCTGCTTCCTTATCAAGTGGTACTGGTTTTCCCTGAAACAAATATTCTCTGCAGGCCATTGCTTTCCTATATTTTAAATTTTTGTTTCATGAATATTTAATAGCAACTACATTGCTTGGTAACTGGCTACTTATTTTTACATTAGTTGAATTTTTGGTTTGATGTGAGTGGTCATAGAATCATAATGGGGAATTTGGTAAAATTTGTAAGGTAAGGTAAGGTACGGTAATAAAGTAGACAATAAAAATAAGGACTATGGCCCAACCACCTTGGATGAAGTAGTAATTTTGATACTGTAATACAAGTTAATTAGTTTTTTTTTAGGCCATCATTTGTCTCCCCAAAACTTGTGATTTTATCTATTATTCACTTGCTGTTATTTTGCTTAATTTATCCAGTTGCATTTTATCCACATGCTGGTGACTTGGTGTTATGCTTGTGGTGTATGATGGAAAGCAATGCCTTAATCACTTGCTTGATTATGCAGCTAATATATCTTTTACTGTTATTGTTCCAGAGTTTTAAGAAATAATTAGTTAAATAGTGCTTCAATGCCAATATCTTGACCCAAAATCACATAATAAACAAAAATAATTATTATCCCATACAAATACTTCAATAAGAAAATGAACTGGAGCTCTGAGGTGACTTGAACCCATAACCAAGGGACTCCCAGCTGCTGACGCTACAAATGTACCACCACAACTTAGTCTTCATATTATTAATTGAACATTGACTACTTCAATATTTAATATTCTTTTGATGTTGGAACTTATTAAAACAAACATTTTCTTTATGATCTCAGTTGTAAGCAATCAAATAGTAAATTAGTAGCTAAATAAGTAAGTAGCTAATCATAACTATTTGTGCAGACAACTAAATGAAACTGTTTTAAATAAACTCCACACCGGTGATTACTGATTACTGACACTCAAACAAAGAATCCATGATTATTTTGCTTTTCTACTCTAGTCATGAAGTGATTCAGGTCAAGAAAAAGCAATGTAAAATATTTAATAATAATCATGTTGGAAGACCTCACTTTTTAGGAACACAAAAAAGTAGCTGTCCCAACTGCAAAAAAATGACAGGCTGGATAACAAGAACCTTTCAAACAGGAGATATCATGCCAATGATACTTCTTAACACACACACACACTTCCTAGAGCAGAATATTATTGCACAATAACAGCCCCATTCAAAGCTAGAGAAATTGCTGACCTTGAAAGCCTGCAAATTTCTTTTGCCAATAGAATCCATACAATAAAACATTAAATTATTGGATCCGCTTAAAAATTTTAAATCTGCATTCCCTAGAGAGCAGGCAGGAAAGAGAGAGAATAATTTACACTTAGGAAATACAATACTAGGACTAGTTCCAAATCTGCACATAGAAATACCACCACACGAGATCAGAAGGCATGGCAGGATGTGCAAAACAGCCCAATGAAATGTAGAAGTGCAACTGGCACACAGAAAACTTAATCAACATGAACCTCCCCAAGACTTTTCAACACTCCCTCTAACACAAATGGGGCATAACTGGCTGACTTCTTGCAATGTTCAAAAGAGAACTTGTTGAACACCTTCAAAGGATACCTGATCAACCAAGTTGTGACTCATACATCAGGCTGAGAGCAGCTGCATCAAACAACCTGGTTAACCTAACAACCAAGTAGGAGGCCTGGTCAGAGACCGGGCTGCAGGGATGTTGATCCTCAGAATCATCGACAGGTATACAACAGGTAAATTTCCACTGTGGTCAGCATCAATGGCCATGGCAAACTTATGATTCACTTACCACTCCTTCCCCAACTGTTGACTAGCTGGTTATAAAGTAGTCATGTATAAGAAATTTATTTCCAAGTTATTGCTCACTGATGCTGGTAGTCGATAACTTTGGTCCATCAGATATACAGTACAGTATAAATAAAAATGAAAGGATTAGTACAAGACTGCTCCATTGAAAAATAAGATGGGTCAGAAAACTGACACTAATAAAAAAAAATGGTGGTATTATAAGTAATTCATCTCTATACTTACAAAAAGAGATATTAAACCCTGTACTTGATAGTTTACATGTGGTTGAATAAATCTACAGTATATAGATGGTGGTTAAGTGGTTCAGTGGTTACCAATTAAATAAACTGAAAAATCAGAGCCCAACAAATCCCAAAGAGCAAAGTATTTGCCCGTACACTTAAAGCACACAAACATTAGGCGAGTGTGCCCTTTTCATGTGTATTTAATATGTTGTTAGAGCCAAGCAGTAACACCAGAGTTGTGGAGAGTTGCGAAGGTAGTGCCAATTTTTAAGTAAATAGGATATAAACCACTTGTGCTGAACTATTGGCCAATTAGTCTAATGTCTACTGCCAATACATCTAGACTTCAGATCAAGCTAGTTCTGTTTAAATGGGATTCTACTGAACTGCAGATAACTTTCCCTTCCTTATTTTTGTGTGATTATTTTGAGATTTACCTTTTGACAACTTTTAGATAACAAATATTTATGCAAACCTGAACTATAAAATAGTCAAGAAGGTTCTCTGAGTGAGGTCAGGAGTGCCCATAAATGGATCTTGTTCCTATTAATAAAGTATCATGTATTTGATTGAGTATAACCACTTGTCTTTAAACCAAACTCAATTTCCCATTTTCTACACAGCACTTAACTAAGTAAAGAAATATTGCAAGTTCTAGGCTGTATTTTTTTGTTTCTTGCAAATAACCGAGCATCGACCTGATCACTAAAGGGAATGCAAAGGAAATAAAACTATTATAAAATCATAAATTAATTTTAACAATAAAACAGAACTACAGTAATATTTTACATAGACCTCAAACATTACACTGTTCTGCAAAACAATTCATAATCACAAATCCCTCTCAGCATATCTGTTGAAAACCTCACCCTCTCTAGTCACAGTGACTATAGAGAGTGAACCCCATACTTAGATAAACAAGGGGGTTTCTTAAAACCTTGATATAATGTTTTATATAAAAAGAACTATATTTAACTGAATTTGCAAGAAAATAAAGTCATCTGGTTAAAAATTATCGTACCTTAGAATGAGACCATTTTTCTTGTGAGGAGTAGTAGGCACTGGAGATGTTTGCTCCACCTTGGGGGCCTGGGGTGCCTGGCAGTCATGCTCTTCTGATAAACAACATACCAGTTCCAAGTTGGAATTAGCTGTCTCCAGGCCTAAAGTTACCTCCTCACCTTCCGCGATATCTCTCGTCGTCACTAAATATAAATGAAGGGATCCTCTTTCTACCACATGCCGTACCTGAATCAAATATGAGCTTTAATAAATAGAATAATTATTAAGCCAATAATTGCTAGCAGATTCCCTTATCTCATGACAGTTTTCAGAATTTAAATCCTTCAGTCAAGATATTGGACATTCAGGTACTAAACCAAAAAGCAATTATAATTCCTTAGGGAACCTGCATACATAGAGGAAGACACCTTATGATTTCATTAAAAATAATTAGATTTGTTTAGATTGTAGCTAATCAAGAGAGGGTTTCATGAGCCGTCTTTCACTAAATTCTAGTGAATTTATAACTATAGTGTGGCGACCAAAACTGAACTGCAACATCTACATGGGGCCTAACAAGAGCAAGATATAGCTGAAGAAGAACAACAGGTGTTTTAATACCAACGCTTCGAGAAATAAATTCTATTTCCCCTCATTACGAACATTACTGTATTGATTTTTTGGTTTTAAATTCTTACTAATTGTAACTCTCAGATCCCTTTTGCAATCTCAACACCATCTTGTACAGTGGCACCACGATTAACGAATTTAATCCGTTCCGGCACCGAGCTCGTCATGTTGAAAACTCGACTTGCGAAACAAAGAAAACTGTCGTCGGAGGTGTCCAAGAACCAGCGGGAACGCTCGAGCGAAAGCTCGTCAGTCGAGACAAATTTTCTGCAAGAAAATTTTTAAAGACAAATTTTCATAACTTTTGATGTGGAGAAACTTACTAGCATACTAGAAGGATGAAGCAATATTAGAGATAGAGGTAATAAAATAGATGAGTCAGGTTACAACCATATAAAATGCAAGAAATTACTGACCTCAGCGTTAGGTTGACACGATCTTCGAGTGAACCTGGCATCATTACCATAGGTTCTCGCATCCACGCAGACGGTGAGGCCCTCCTTCGGCATGTGGTATTGTAAGACATACGGCAGGTACGGTTGGCCCAAAACTGGTTGCTGGGCATTCCATTGTGAAGCTAACAGGTATTTGCCTTGAAACTCTGTGATGGCTGTATTTATGGATAACCTTGTAGCTGCTACAAGAATCTGCAATAAATATCATGAGGAATAATTATCAACCATATATATATATATACAGTACATATATTGCACAACAGATATAAAACAAATAATTGCTGGCAAAAAAAAAAGTAAATCCCTGATCCAATGGATATTCAAAAATCTCACCTTACTGTCAAAAACATCAAACAGCGGTTGGGGATTCTCGATAACCTTGCACCGGTGACCTAAGACTGCCCCTTGTGTGGAAGCTCGTAAATCAGGAGATACTCCATTAATACGAGCAGCATGAACCCTGGCACGTAGTTCTGGGGAATAGTGATTTGTAACAGCCACTTCATAGCCTTCAACCCATGCCCGTAATCTCTCGACAGGCCCACTGTTGGAGTCATCGCTCACACCTTCTCCGCCACTCATGCTGCTACTTTTCCTCTGAAATTAAATAAAATGTACGGTCAAGGAAAACAATGGTGATTGCTTAATCCACCCTGAAATCAACTCTAAAAGGTTTATTCATATACACTCAAAGCCATTACAAATGGTACTTGACGTCACAAGAAGATTCAACTAAGCTAGCTAATGACCCACTAGCCCACCAGGTAGCAGCACCTACACCACAACAGCATCTTCTGACTACAGCCTCCCCATTTTCAACATAGCCCCAAAATAAACCCTACACAAACAAAAGAATTGACAAAGAATGAGCAAGAGTCTCATTTCTGAGTTATCCTACTTGGTTGCTCTCTAAGGCAAAGTTCAAGTGAAAAGTCAACTCCTATAAATTAGGTAGAACTCATTTGTGATACTGAGTAGTGCAATCAGCAGTCTAAATGTCAGGTAATACAGGCAAAGCTCCACTAGAAGAGTCATCTAAAGAAAAAACATTCCCATGTTGATATACTGACAGAACAAGCAGGAAACCTGGGGAAGGAACTAGGACTCAATATAAGGGTTGAAAACCCCCACCTCCTCTCCTTCCCCCTCACTTTAAGGAAGCAAGCAAATGCACTCAGCCCACAAAGCTCTCCATCTTCAAAGAGCCAGCATCAGCTTCTGGTAGAAGGGAAGACAAAATAAAATGTATCAGAGAAAAAAGTAGAAAACAGAAAACCAACACCCACTGACTGCAGGCAGAATCAAGCATCTTCAACACGGAATGATTTTAAATACATAGGAAGCCTGAAGGTCTAACATGAATGCAGATTCAGCTATAGAAATCCAAAATTTCACAGTTTCTGCTGAAATGAAAACTGCCCTGTGAACTCAAACTAGTCTCAACCAGGGCAGAGACTGTGAATGCTGTAGCTAAAATTTTGATCAGTTGATTTTAGATGGATGAGAAACATGTCAATATAGACACAGCAGTGAAATAGCAGATTAGGCAAGGAAAATGGAAGTTGACCTCTGGTAAGTCAAAAATCACAATTACTGTCTACACATGATAATCTGAATTATACAAAGCCCACCTCTCTACAAGATAGCCTGACATCTAAATTAACCATATTTTTACTGGGAAAGTCCAAAAGGAATACAATTTAGTTTATTCAGGTATTGTTCAACAGAAATCTCAGTAATCTGAATTTTTATTAGGGTTGAGAAGTAAAAAGCCTAAACTCGAATTATAGATTTTCGGTTGTCAGAACCCTCAGTCTCTGATCAACAGCTCTTTCCTGCAGTCTCTGATCCAACAGCTCTTTCCTGCAGTCTCTGATCCAACAGCTCTTTCTTGCAGTCTCTGATCCAACAGCTCTTTTTTGTAGTCTCTGATCCAACAACTCTTTTTTTCTACACAGTCTCCATTACAACATGGAGACTGTGTAGTCTCCGACTACAACAGCTCTTTTTTTTTTTTTGTACAGTCTCTGGTCCAACAGTAATTTTCTGAGTCTCTTAGAACTATAAATTACACCCTAATTTTAAAGTTGGATTAGAGAGGTTATGATTGAATAATAAGCCAGTCACTTAATCCTACCATCAACAGACCTCAAACTGTCGACACCATGGGTGCAGGAGTATTGTCCAACAAAAACAAAGCCTACTCCTTAATGATCCTAACACTTTCATGGTTCACTATACATGTTTCAGTAATATTCATAATTACTTGCAATTGGTCCTCAAATGCCAAAAGGTGTCAGAGTCTTGAAGCTTATAATAGTACGTGAATCTTGTCCACACAATACAGGGTAGGGGAGTCTAGGGGAATATAGGACCACCACAGTAACAAAGACCACTATGATCTATACAACAATCATTAACCAGACTGAACCATTGGCTTGTAGCACATGTTCACCACCAAATGGAAGCACAGGTCACCTGAAACCCAGGGCTGCCAACCCAATCATTCATGGCCAAACATATGGCCATGAATGACCATTACCACACCATGGGAAAAGGGAAAAAGAGTGGGATGGGGAGTTACTGAATGGCCCACTAGAAAAAGGCATTTATTACATTCAATGCTCGTTTACATGAAGATCATCTCAGTAGCTTCCTAAACTGTCTCACTATGGAGTATAGAGAAGAAAATAGGGAAAACTGTCCACTAGGTGGGGAAGGAGATGTAAACAACATACACAGTACTGTGGCAACTAACCGACACCAAGTCATCATGGTGCTGCCTGGGAACACAAGACCAAGGTCAGAGCTTTGGCTGCAAGCATGCCAAAGAGGACCAAAATCACAAGCCCAAAGCTTCTAATATTCTTCCTCCATATAACCTTAAGCCAATAACATCTTAGCCTAAACCTTCACCTCCTCCCTCAATTATCATCGCAGCCTACTTGCTAGGCCAAGAATGAATGTGGAGGAACCCTTATACTGTACCATACTTGAATAATATTATGACATTTCATGTACAGCGCTACTCAATATTATTTACTCGTGTAAAATGAACTTGTATAATATCCAAATATCTTCAGATTACACTAATTAGTGTACCTTTATTGTAATCTATTTCTGCCATTAAATTAGAAATTTTATGGGCAGGACATTACAACCAACAATCTGAGCAAATACAGTTTCTTGTTAGTTCAATGGTGTAGTTGGGAAAGCAGGATGGTGACTACATCTATATTTCTCAAGCCTTTATTGCCCATATGATATTACAATATTTAAAAGGGTGGCAATCACCAAAATTATTCTCACTTTTACATCATAATCTCAAATACTACATATATTTACCTAACCAATTTACATACAATAGATAATATTATTAGATAAAATTATATTTCTCCTTAAGTTTAATACAATACTTACTCTTCTCTTTACTAGCATCCTCCTTTCCTTATCTTCTGTGCCTGGGATAATATTATTGTTGCCTGGACTCACAAGATTGGTCTTCTTCAACAAAGACAGCGATCCCTTGCGCCCATTCTTCATGTCCTTTAATTGTTTGACCTTCTTTTTCTTAACAACTTTCTTTTCTTGAATTTTCCCTAAAGTTCCTCTCCCTTTACTAGACACCGGGATATTATCATCAGAGTCTGAAGAGGACAGTCTAAAATAAAAAGAACTTTTAGTATTAGATAAATTGGCAACATCAGCAATTACTTAACACACAGGTTTCACAGCAGGAATACAAGAAAAGTGATACACCTACCTAGCTAGGTGAGCCTTAATTTCTTGCCGTCTGCGTATCTGCAGTGCTCGAGCTTTGAAGCGATCTATTGGTCTAGGATCACACGCTTCACACAGGTACTCGTCTGGGATATTGTCCCGGTCTATTTCCATACAGTCTACATGCTGCCAGACACTAAAAAAAAAAATCCATGACGTACATGAAGTGAATAAAACTATATTCAATACACAAAATGTCCTTCCTAGCATGACAAAAGTGTTTTGCATATTATTTAAATAATAATGATCATAAGATGGTAATTTAAGTGCCTAGTATAATTCTGTATCTGAAACAAATTCAAAACTCTTATCCAGTTTAGAATCTAAGTACCTTTGTCAAAAGGAATGGTTTACTTACAAACATCTATCACACTGGATCATATATCCATCGTCATGGGAAAAATCACAGACACAGCGGGTAATAGAATCATCTATTGGTTGCTCATCTCCTTCGCCCTCTGGTGCAGTTTCTGTCTCTTCTCCAGATGGTCCGACAGATGAACTCCGATCACTTAAACGCGAATCGTCGTCCGTCTCTGCCCCAGTGGAAGAGGGCGGGGGTCCCGTAATAGCAGTAGGGGATTGGAGTAGCTCTACTGGAGGTGGTGGGATGTGAGGCGAGGGAAAAATGCTTGTCTTAGGATGTGGCATGAACTGCTGACGGTGAGGTGGCATTGTATTGAGAGGATGAGATGTTAACAAGCCCGACACAGAGACAGATGGGCCCGATGAAGTAATGATTCCTAATCTAGGAGAGGGACTGGTATGTGTGATGGTCTGTTGGGGATGAATATGAGATTGATGTCTGTGTTGAGGATGGTATATATTATTAGTATTTTGTTGGGCATGTGACTGTAAATTGTGAGGATGACTGTGTTGGTGAGGCTGAGGGCTGTGTTGATGATGTGACTGATGAAAGTGGTGAGATGACTGGTGATACACGGATGATCCCGACGAAGATGGTAAAGGAGGTGGGGACTGAGGTGGCGTTGGGGGAGGAGGAGCACCATAATTATGGTCCTGAAGCACAAAGGGTAAATTATATGTTGAGCTATGCTTGGATGAGGATGATGATGATGATGAGGAATAGGGGAAAGAAGAGGAGGGTGTGCTCATGGAACCAGAGGATGGACCATCCGACACACGACCCATAGCGTCTGAAACATTTGACCTGGAAAATGAAATTTTTCTTACTTTCACTATTCATTAACAAATATCATGCAAAATATTAACAGATGACAATTTTAAATAAAGTAACCAACAAACAACTGAACATTTATATACTACTGTATACTGCAATACTGTACAATCTTAAGGATTTGTCCTTAGCCATGGGCCTTGTGAAATTCATTCAAATTCAGAATGAATTATAGCTAACTTGTAAACTTCTTGATGTTAAGCTTTTGGGGATACTGTATTAACCTCTCCCATCATAACATATTCTTCCCTTATCCAAAGGGAAGAATCTATTTCAATATTCTTAATCTATCTTAATCTGTCTCAATATTCAAGATATTGTTTTTATCTTGACCTAACACTTAAAATAAGCCAGAAATGATAAATTTCCTCTTGCATTCAAGAAAGTTATAAATAGTAAATGAATAAATGGGACAGATGCTTAACTCTTAAGACTTCATCTCCCATTCCAAAGCATGATAGGGCAACACTGTGGCTCACATTTCAATACGTTTACACAAATGGTGGGTACACATGTAGACAACAGTCAGGTGATGTGTGACTACACCCATGGTAAACGGGTGTCTCGGGTAGCTGAATGCCTGTGAGGGGAAAATTCCTGTACTTTATTAGTGCATATACATCCATCCATCATGGAGAACACACTTTTTAACCTCAGGTTTGGTTCACACGACAACTAATATGTCTTTAATCATGGGGGACATCCAAAATATTAGAGGATGTTAGTGATGTTGGTAAACTCGTTGATGATAACATCCAGGGATGTTAGCACCATTAATCCTTTACCTGCACGTCATGTCTAGGGATGTATTAAAATACCACATAAGATTTAAAACTCCCATGGGTACATGGGCTCACATCCACTTCCTCAGCCCTTCAGTAAAGATGCCACCTTGGAAAATAAATCATGGAGTACAATCTTTTCAGAAGTGACAGAAAACACAGGTTACAGGATGGGCTCAGCCTGTATATCAAAGACACATTCAACTACATTGAACTACAAAACACCCCAAATGATATGGTGAAAGTGCTGATACCACAAAAATGTGGTTACTGTTCTTGTAAATAAGATACCACATGCAAATCTTCAGCAGTAAAAAGACCAACTAATGAAAATGAATACTACTAAGAAAATCTCAAAAACCCAGCCCAAACATCATCTTGCTTGAGGACTTAACCTGTGGTACTTAAATTTTAAGAATTTGGCAAATACAGTTATCATATCTGGAGCATACCTGGGTTTCGGGAGCTGTTCTACTTCCCGAGCCCAGCCTCAACTTGTGATAACATAAGCCTACAAGCCCACATATCCGCTACAACCCAGTAGCGGATATGTGCTGGATAGGTCCAGCACTTCAAACAAGAACTTGTCTAAGTGCACCTTGAAGACGTCCATCTTTGTTCCGGCAATACTAGTACTGTGTTTCTAATGCTTGCTGGGAGGGTATTAAACAGCCTGTTCAATACAATACCTGTCCAGCCAACTAGTCATGGACCCCTGATGTTCAGACTGTTTTCTGATTGTGTCTACGGCACCTCTACTCCTCACTGGTTCTATTCTGCATTTCCTTCCATATCTTTCATATTCTACTGTGAAAATTTGGGACCTACCCTTCCAGTATCTTCCCTGTATATATTATTTGATACCTTTCTCATCTCTTTTCCAGAGAGTATATTTTGAGAGCTTTGAGACAGTCCCTAGAACTTAGATGTTTTATAGTTTCTGTATGTGCTGAATAGGTTCTCTGTATTCCTTCTAATTCCAAAATCTCTCCTGCTCTGAAAGGGAAAGTGAGTACTGAGCAGTACTCAAGATGGGACAGCACCAGTGATTTAAATAGTAATACCTGTAGCAATGCTGTGGGATTGCTGGATTTGAACGTTCTCATAATCCATCCTATCATTTTCCAGCCCACCGTTATATTTGTTCGATTATGTTCACTAAATGTCATGTTTATATCAAAGTTATATCAAAGAGAATCCCAAGAATTAGTTTAAATCAGAAATTGCACACAAATGACTTAAGGATTCCAGTGATGGGCCAAGGGCACCTGACAGCTGGGTGGACAGCGCTTTGGATTCGTAGTCCTAAGGTCCTGGGTTCGATCCCCGGTGGAGGCGGAGACAAATGGGCAAAATGTTTCTTTCACCCTGATGCACCTGTTACCTAGCAGCAAATAGGTACCCTGGGAGTTAGACAGCTGCTATGGGCTGCTTCCTGGGGCAGGGGGGGGGTAACAAAAAGGAGGCCTGGTCGATGACCGGGCCACAGGAACACTAAGACCCGAAATCATCTCAAGATAACCTCGAGATAAGGATGTCCGATAGATCTAACTCAAACCATCAAATAGAAGAACCAGCAAGAAAACAGACTAGACCTTATTTTCACAAATAACATTGATCTGATCAGAAACATAATGATTACAAATACCAATTTACTCAGATCACAACATTACTGAAGTTCAGACTAGCATAGGCAACAGACCTACAAGGCCACTCCAGCAAATTTAATTTTTGAAGTAAGCAGATTAACTGGGAACTAATAAAGACTTTACAGAACTAAGTTGGGAAGAACAGCTATAAAATTCAAACCTAAATCAATGCCATGAAAAAGAATGGGCTCAGCAGCTCTAGAAATTTACATGCCACATAATAGAAAGGGAGAGAAAAAGATGAAAATTGAAACAAAAAGAGCGTTCCTTTTATAGGCGAAGAAAACAATTGCAAAACAACAACAGCAAACAACTTGCTAAAAACAACAGCAAACAGAAAACAATGCAAACAACAACAACAATCAAACAACTGTTTGTTTGAAAATAATCAAAGAAAAACAAACAACCCAGAAAATCAATGCAAGGTAACCTAACCCAAATGAACTTTGAAGTGACAGTATGCCCATGCCCTCAGCAACAGTCCCCGATTCCTGGAATTCCATATTCACTAAGAATTTAAAATCCACTATCACAGCCCATTAATATTATCTGGAGATGGAGCCTAGATACTGGTGTTATCCCAGAAATACTTAGAACAGCGGTGATAGCACCACTCCATAAGGCAGGAAATAGAGTAAAAGTAGAGTAAAAAATTATACACTGATTGCATAATCACACATCATAAAAACCTTTGAAAGAATGCCAAAAAGTAAGATCTCAAAACACATGGAATCAGTGTTTACATAACCCTGAACAACATAGGTTCTGAACAGAGTGCTCTGGCCTCTCACAATTGCTTGATCACTATGACATGGCCTTAGCTGCACGGAAGAGAAGCAAAACACTGATGTAATATACTGTACACAGATTTTGGTTTTCATCAAGTGTGACCATGGTCTTATTGCACACAAAATGTGCTCAAAAGAAATTACTGGCAAAATAGGAAGAGTGATCTTGAATTTCCTGACAAACAGAACCTAAAGTGTAAGTTAACAAAGTAAAATCCAAATAATCCATTGTGAAAAGCCCAGTCCCCCAGTGTACTGTGCTGGCTCCAGTACTTTTTCTCATCCTCATACTGGACATAAACAAGAACATAAATTATAGTACCAATAATGTACAAATACTGTATATGTACATTACTGTAAATATAAATTATTGTAATATTGTGCTGAACATGAATAACCACATAAATTTACACCAACACTAACCGAGAGTGCGTGTAAGCAGAGAGGGTGACATGATGGGTGGGAGTCTGTGTGTTGGTGGTGGCCCCACCAGGACTGAGCACCAGCTTGTGTACCACCAGTGACATGCCGCTGCTACCTTTCCTCCCCACCAAGCCGAGCCATCATTACACTCCCTGAAAACAAAAAGTTCCTTATTAAATATGTGAGCTTAAGAGACCTGCTTACTGCATTAGACTACATTTTAGGTTCTAGTAATAATTATACACGAGATAGTTACCAAAGAGAGACAAGTAATTTACAAAAAGATAAAAGCAATTTGCCACCAATGTACATATTAATGTACCAAGCACTTACAGTATCAGAATTTTTTGTAGTATTGGTAACATTTATGCCAAAACTGTGTTTTAACATCTTTACACTTAAAACCTTTTACAAAATAAGAACACAGTATATGTTTAAACCATAGCTGTCACAACTGAAAGAAAAATAATAGGCTGGATAACATGAACCTTTCAAAGAAGAGATACCAAACCAATGATGGTACTTTTCAAAACACAAAAAAAAGCGTTTAGGTTCAGAAAAAGGCCTTTGTAAACATTGGTTTTGGAATAGGGTTGTTAATTTATGGAACAGATTACAGGTAAAATAATAAACATGGGATCCCTGGATTGTTTCATGCATAGCATAGACATATATATGAATGAGTTTGGGTGGATATAAATAGGAGCTGTCTCGTATTGGGCCAACAGGCCTTCTGCAGTTACCTTCATTCTTATGTTCTTATGTTCTATCTAGGATGGAATATTGTTGCATGCTAACATCCTCATTCAAAGCAATTAAATTATTGGAACTTCTTAAAATTACACTCCTTGGAGTGAAGACAAAATAAACAATAATGTACACTTGGAAAAATAGGGGAACTGATTCTAAATCTGCACATAGAAATAACTCCTTAAGAGACATGAAGGTATGGAATGATGTGCAAATTAGCCCCTTTAAAAAGAGAAGCCCTTGTTGGTAAAAAACAATACTGTCAACATTAAGGGCCCAAAACTATTCAACACCTTCCCTATAAGTATATCAGCCCATCTTCCCAAAATGATAGTACCTGTACTACAGTATACTTATAACAACTACTGTATTTTGTCGAAAGTACCAAAAAGTAGTGATGAATTACCAAAAGTTGATATTTTCTATTGCTGAATTTGTCATGGAAATTCAACCAAAATTGAATGGAAAGTTTTAACAGTAGCAAATATAGAACCTAAACTATCCTCTCCTAGGAATCTGAAGATTAATACATGCCATCTTAGGCCTAACATAGCTCATATCTGCGCTATACCAGGCCTAGGAATAAATGTTTGAGTTTTGTTAGATTTATTTTTTGAACCCTAAAGAACTGACAATACAAAAGTGAGCTTTTGCTGGTCCATCACTACATATTGATACTTTTGACCAAATAGTTACTAGAAGTACTGTATTATCACATTTCAGGAGGATGGGTTGAAATATACTGCAAAGGGCAGACATTAGCTGAACACTTTCCATGTTCAACATGGAACCTAAAACACATCTCAAAAGGCTAATTTGCCTCTTTAAAAAGGCCTCTGATAAATGTGATTAATGGAGAACTTCACCCACATGTAAAGATTGGATCTGGGTATCTTCCAAACCCCTTGTATGGTCAGTAAGACATCAGGCTGTATTAAGGTGCTTTTAAACCCATTGTGGTCCAGGGAGTAATGATTGAGGTAACCCAGGACATGAGTTCATTTTAATACATTGCTACAAAAGATTGCTTAATAGGCCAAGTTACCTAAGAAGCCAAATTTTCCTGAAATATTATATTTGTAAATATTTTTTCTTATGGAATGATACAGTTTTCCATTACATTACCTATGATTTTAATTGTTTAACGTTGATTCAAAACTAACAGAAATCTGATCAAATCAGTAATTCAGTAATCATGTTAACAATAATAATTATTATGGCTAGACAAAATCTGAAAAGAAATATTTGAAAATAATGAAAATCATTTGGCCTGTTGAGCAAATCCGACTTTGCATACTAGGTCAAGTAGTGCAGTTCTGGCTATTAAGCATGACATATATGATGTATATAAATATAGAAGCAGTAGAAGATTCCAGCAATAAACTGCCTACCACACAAGCCTGTATTTAATTAATTTATTTATTTATTTATCAATTTATTTATATTCAATATGGAAGACTGGACAGTGAAAGTACACACTTCGATAAATGGACCATTCCTGTAGAGTGCCTCTAAGTTTCTTGTTCAGGCCTTGTTAACCCTTCTGGTGGCCTGAATTCCCTTTAGTCTTTTCTTATCTCGACCACCTTTTCTTGGAGCAGTCTAATATGTTGTCATGCCGCTTGCTTACTCCTATTTGACCTCTCATTCGGTATAGAGAATGAGGGGTAGACTGTGCATAAAGGCGTAGTTTTGCCTTGGTAGATAGAGAGGCGAGCAGACATAAGTGTATATTAAAGCATTAACCAGAGAAGGCGAGGGAGGGGGCGAGCCTTACAAGCTGGCCCAGCAACCGCTCCCCGCACCTCCACTATACTCAATTATTAATACCTAAACTTATCACATCGCTATTACCTAAGTGTTAGATAACCAAAAACCCCCACTAACATTGTAATTAATATTAATTAAACAATTAAGTAGTGTATTTAATACATTTGCTAAAGCAAGGGCGAGCACAATGCAGGCCAATCCCGTATGCTCTCTCTCTCCCAACAACGCAGTTTGCAAAACAGCGCCCTATATCGGCCGCCAGTCTCCGTCCGTCAACACCGTTACGCTGGCAGAAACAAATGGGTCATAAAGCGTAGATGTGAATGTGAATAATGCAAGTGGAGAGGAGCATGGGGTACATTTTGAGTGATGTATCGATCGTGCCGCGACCCACCACAGCCCGTCGTTGTGGCCTGCTGGCCCGGTCGTCATGGCAACCTGGTGACGTCACAGGCGGAGGCGGGAAAGGCAAAGCTTGTCGAGCTGTGGCGGGAGGCTCCCTCAGGGGGGCTCCACACTCTCTCTCAACACACGCACCTCCCACCCTAACTTATAATTCAACACTTAACCTTAATATCAATATTATAAAACCTAATTTCAACTATACAGTTGATCTGAGATAAGAGGGAAAAGTGTGTGTAGAGGGACTAGTGGCAAGAGGCGCGGCGGTCCGCCATCGCTGGCCTAGTGTCTCCCAGCCCCTCACTCGCTCAGGATATCCAGCCAGACGTGTCACAAGCCCGACAATTCTACTATCATTCTTCAGTCCACATGCGAAATGCAACCATAAAAAATACCGAGTGTGATCTTTACTGAAGGAACATGCATATATATATCTGGAGGGACGGAGTGAGTGAGTAAAGGAAAGGGAGGCCCAACTGTTGTGGCTAGAGGAAGCTATGAGAGAGAGGCGGTGCATGTGTGTGTAGGTTGATCACTTGTGGTGGGCGAGGCGCGCGTGGGCGGCAGGTCAGGCGGGAAGCCATGGGGCCCTGTGGGGGACGCTGCTCATTGTGAGGGGGCTCCCCCTGCTCCTCACAGTGAGGGGAACCAGATCCCTGTGGGAAACGCTGCATCTCCACCCCCCTCATAGTGAGGGAAGCCAGAGTGGTGCGAGGGACGAGAAGGGGGCAGACGCTGGCATGAATGGCACTCCCTGCCACACCAAGCAAGACGCGCCGCCCACTCACAATCCTCACTAATAATGTACCCCGCCGCCTCTACTCGTATTCAATATACTCTCTCATTATACATAGTCAACAGAAATAACCCCCCCTGATTAACACAGCCTTTAAACGAGCAACTCACAATATCAAATGTTAAAGGCAAAATGCATTCAATTTGTGACAAATGTTGCACACTCAGACGGTGATATAAAGAGAAAGGTTAAAATAGAGATGATTTAAGAGAAAGGTTAAAATAGCGATTATATATAGTTAAAAACGTCAAACCAAGACAGAACAATGTTCTGAAATTGCACACATGTATATTTATAAATACATGTGAAGATTTAACAGTAGTTTGGCGGCGGGGAGGGGGGGGGGAGCAATTAGCAAAGAAGCGTCAATCAAGACGACATGACCTGCGTCCCATGGCGAAAATGCCTACCACAGTATTGTGGTGGTAGTCACTGTGGCAAGGTGGTAGTGGGGGGTCACTGTGGCAAGGTGGTAGTGGGGGGTCACTGTGGCAAGGTGGTAGTGGGGGGGTCACTGTGGCAAGGTGGTAGTGGGGGGGGGGCACTGCAGTATAGTGGTAGTCAATGTAGCAAGGTGGTAGTGGTATTCACTATACTTAGGTGGTGGTGGTAGCCACTATATTAAGGTGGTGGTGGTGGTAGAATAGTCAGTGAAGTTATAGTGTTTAGGCTGTAGTTACCGCAGCAACATTGTACAATTATATGCACTGAAACAATATACATTATTGCAATCACAAACGTGGATGAATGAAGAAAACGGTGCACTTTTTTTGCAGAACATCAAATATAACAAATACAAAAAAAGTGTTAATAAGGGAATAAAGAAACATTTTGGAATTAACAGCGAAAATAATGATAGCCATCTCTCTTGTCTCACGAAGGCTTCCCCTTCCTTTGTTGTTCGGTGTCAGTCAGCTTGGTAAGGGGTCCAGGACGGAAGGAAAAGTTATCACTTTCTTTTCATGTGTTCGTTAGTTCATGTGTGGGCTGGGGGGTTGTTTGTTTTCACTCGGGCTTGATTATTTGTTTTCAATCATATTATTGGGACTTATTCTTTACTAGTATGGAGCTGTAAGGGCCACCAAACTTCGAGATAATTATTTTTGGCATACATTTTTGGGCACACACATATATATATATATATATATATATATATATATATATATATATATATATATATATATATATATATATATATATATATATATATATATATATATGTTGTACCTAGTTGCCAGAACGCACTTCTCAGCCTACTATGCAAGGCCCAATTTGCCTAATAAGCCAAGTTTTCATGAATTAATTGTTTTTCGACTACCTAACCTACCTAACCTAACCTAACTTTATAACCTAACCTATAAAGATAGTTAGGTTAGGTTAGGTAGGGTTGGTTAGGTTCGGTCATATATCTACGTTAATTTTAACTCCAATAAA